TTGGAAGAAATGTCAGAGATAAAACGGTAATAGGCATGGAATGTGTGTCTGCAAATATATATATATATATATATATATATATATATATATTATAATATATATATATGAGTTTGTACATTAAATATATATATATACAAACTCATATAATATATATATATATATATATATATATATATATATATATATATATATATATATATATATATATATATATATATATTAGTTTGTAAATATATATAAATATATATGTATATATATATTAATTTCTAAATATATATATATATATATATATATATTATAATATATATATTAGTTTGTACATATATATATATATATAATATATATATATATATATATATATATATATTAGTTTGTACACATATATATTATAATATATATTAGTTTGTAGATATATATATATTATAATATATATATTAGTTTGTATATGTATAATATATATATATTAGTTTGTATATATATGTATATATATAATAAATATTTGTTTGTATATATATATATATATATATATATATATATATATATATATATATATATATTTGTTTGTATATATTTGTTTGTATATATGTGTGCGTGTGTGGCTGTGTACATACAGACTTAAATACAAATATATTTTTTATAATAATATATAATATACTGACATTATAATTACTTTTTTTCTCTTTCCACTAATGTTTCTGCCCCAAATTTCTCCACACCCTGTATCCCTTGTCTTTTCAGTGGCTTTTACTGCCTTTGTATAGGTAGATACCAATTATATATATATATATATATATATATATATATATATATATATATATATATATATATGAGGTGATGTATTTAAACGCGATTGTGTGTGTGCATTTGTATATAAAGAGACGTATTTATGAATATATATACGAATAAAAATTATATAGAACAAGAATGATAACGCGTATATATATATATATATATATATATATATATATAGAGAGAGAGAGAGAGAGAGAGAGTGAGCGTGGACATGTGTAAACATGCGTAACTATTTATTCTAATGAGACTATACTCTAACACACACGTTATAATATATATATATATGTATGTATCTGTGAAAAAATATAAATTTCAGATGTCAAAGTGGAAATTTCTTTTCGTATAACTTTATGAATTCGTAAATGAAGAAAAGCGTCCCATAATTTTTCCCATTCTGTCTCAGTGTCTCTCTCTCTCTCTCTCTCTCTATATATATATATATATATATATATACACTTAGTGTAACAGCAAAATTATCCAAATCGTGTAGCAGTATGGGATAATTGTCCAGCCCACAAAAAGTTCAATATCTACGAAACCACTAAACTAATTGAGTTTCTATTTTTCCAGGTTTTCAGATAATACTTTTAGCCATCTTGACACCATTTATCGTAAGAATCACTGAAAAACTCTGTGTTATTCAGCTAGAAACGAGAACACGTTAAACTCGTTTTGTGTCAGCCCCTCCGTCTTCTCAACTGAGCAATGTTGAGAGGAAAAAGATCATTCACATAATAGTTTCAACATTCATAGTTTGGCTTCTATCATCAAAGTCGATTCTAAGAGAACGGCGAATAAGTTTAGAAAAGAGGGAACAGTAGAGAGGAAAACTGGATCAGGAGGTCACAACAGGAAGAGGAATTATCATTCATTCATATATATATATATATATATATATATATATATATATATATATCCCTTCAGGAAAGGTGAGATCGATAAAAACGGGGGCATAGATCGATATTTTGATAATATTCGATTACTCTCTCTTTTAATGAGTGTAGCATTTTTAAAATATATGCCTGATATATTACATATATAATCCTACGTACCAATTCTATAACACTCACTTTCCAAAACGCCCCACCCATTTAAAGAAAAATTCAAATAGTCGCAACTACTTCCAAACCTGGTCATGGATATAATCAGAAAAACACCAGTAACAATAAGAATTAAGGAGTCATATATACAGTAAATGGACTGTTCTTCACAATATATTAGGAAACAAGCAGATATATATATATATATATATATATAGTTATGAATGTACGAGATTTTATGATAAGATTTAAGCAAATGTTTTTAAGATAAACAGTAAATTAACCTTTGTCTACCTGAATGTCCATGGTTTTTTATAGAAAATATGGTTAAGACAGGATTCGAACGTCCTGACAGTTCCATATAGGATGCCTTAACCACTTCGAAAACCTTATGGTATGAACGAATTTATTTTTATAAACTATGAAAATTTTCATAACTAAATATTTTCAGGCCGGTAAATGTTATTTAATACTGTTTATCTTAAACAGAGCATTTGCTTAAATACTTGTATCTATAAAATAACAACGTTAAACATAAATAAAAAATGTCCTTAATAAATAAATTGTCGGACCTTGTCCATTTCTTAACATATATATATATATATATTATTACAATGAATCATTCATACAAAAAGTAGATTAGTAAAGTTAATGATATAAAATGGCGACATGCCTTCGCTAACAAAATTTTAAAGGTGCATTAACCTACAAATCACTCGATGAATGATATGATCCTTGTTTTTTTAAAAATTATAAACTGTATAAGATCTTTCTTTAATACTCAAGT